AGCTGGCCCAGGAACGTTCCTGTTGGAACGACCATCATGGCGACATGAGCGAGGCCTACCACGGAGGAAAGCTGCGCTGCTACGTCCATATCATGGACCAGGGCCTGTGTTACCGTGTCAACACTCTGGCTGCGTACATAGAGGCGAACAGACTGGTGAGCGGCTCTTCAGCCTTATCTCACACTTATATTTTTCATTCAGCCCTGGGGTTCTTTTAACCCCCCCCCCAAAAAAAATCAAAGTTTTAATAAAGCTCGTACAAGTGGCGAATTGTTCTTTCATTTTTGTGATTAAACATTTGGAGAAACACAACCATTGTTGTTTTGTAATCACTGATATCTGTTTTTAATTTTCGGGGCTTTATTTCCATATCTCTCTCAAGGCCCCCAAGCTGTTTGAGGAGTCAGCAGTTCATCCAAGTGCCGTCATTTCTGAGAAATGTCAGGTAAAAATTATATGGAAGATTTGTCGTTGTTTGCCACTAGCCATAAATAAAATGTAGTTATCTTGCATTTTTATCTTCACTAGTCATTGTCGTTTTTAAGCTTCTTTATCTTTGTCTCTAATTTAGGCATTGTGTGTGTGTGTGTTTGTATTTTCATGTATGTGTGTTTCAGGTGGGATCAGACAGCATCATTGGTGCTCAGTGCCAGGTAGCAGATAAGACTTCTATAAAGAGGTCCATTATTGGCATCTCCACCACTATTAAAGAAAAGGTCAAAATTGCCAACTCCATCATCATGCACGGCGTCACCATTGAGGAGGGGTGAGTCTGCAAACACACACACATCAATAAACAGCCACACATCTACACACTCCTCTGTGACATGTACACTCTTTGAAGCAGTAAGTGTGAACCCTTTGCTAAGTGTTCCAGCCTTGAGGCGTGTTTACGGAGTGGAGTTTAATTCCCCTCATCGTCTTTGTTCTCGTCCTCCTCCGATCGGTCCGTACACGCTCACCGTGTGGGACACTGCGGGTGATTAGTTTGCAAAGCTTTCAAAATTAAATAAATCATTTGCCACTGCCAGGATGAACTTGTAATGAGCATCCATTCATCTCCGGGAACAGATATGGTTACACAACTTGAATCTGTAATATCTGGATTTTGTAACACCATTTCCAAAACTACTGCACGTTTATAACGCGTTGTGATGTTGGACTTTGAAACGTTCTGTTATGTGCTAATGAGTGTTCTTGTGCGTGTGTGTCAGTTGATGGGAGGTGTCACAGGTTTTGTTTTCTGAGCTCCGTGGGGTCAAACAGGGATCGCTGAGTTAACAATGCACCTATTGGTGTGCACCCAACCAGAGAGCGGCTCCAAACAAACACACTGGTTATGGAATTGTGGAATACCACGTGGGAATTCCAGGCATTAATCAGACCAACAGCCAAACTGAATTATTTGATAGATTGTGTTAAAGAATTAGCTATCAACAACATTTGTATGACCTCTTTAAGTATCTATCTTGTCTTTCAATCCACGTTGTATTAGCTGTCATTTTCAAGGACTTTCTTTTATTGTATCGTTACTTCTTCGCTATCAATTCTGTTTTGGCTAAAAACAGCACAGACATTATGTAATAATTAGATAACCGGCATTCTTACAAACAGTTTTAGCTTTTTCTGGCCATTTGGGAATTTCATCACAAATGGCAAAGGTCCCTCCAAATAGTAACCTGTTTGTTTAGCAGATGAAGGAGATTAGGTTAGTGGTTCAGTTGCCAAACATTTAACTTTGTTACAATAAGAGAGGACTTGTGCAGAGAGCAGTAGTCACTACTGTAACATTAGCATGCAGATTGGTCTGCTCAGTTCCTTGGCCAGGAACTGTTTTGCAAAGAGACTTTAATTCACTCATTCACAGGCTCCCTGTCTTTTATCTCAATTTCTTATTCCTCCCTCTCTTTTCTTACTATCAGGCCCTCAATGCCATCTCTGTCCTCTCTATTTCTGTTTTCCTCCATCTTTTCTTAAGCCATTCAGGGACCTCAGACAGCCAACACAGGGACCCTCATCATGCCCATGTAGGTGCACGCACAAAGGCATGAAAGAGCACTAGAGACAGGAGAAGGGGAAAAAAAAGAAGTAAAGAAAGAAGCGAGGGGAAAAGCAAGCTAGCAACGCAATAAAGAAATTGCAATTCTTTCCTTTCTTTGAGGACCTAAGAAGGAAGGAGAAAGAAGGAAAAGAAAAAGAAAAAGCCAGTATGAGGGGATTAGCAGACCCCGGCCATGTCGCAGAAACCCAGAGCATTTCTCGTCTCTTTGTTTGGAGCTGACCAGAGCTTGTTGACAAAGCGCTGCGTGTTTGGGAAGGGGGATAGTAAGGGTCAACTTTACAGGGAGGGGGGGTGAGGAGGGGGTTGGCACTGAAGGTGGGGGCTGAATCTGTGTGTGTGTGTGTGTGTGTGTGTGTGTGTTTGAGAAGTAGCATCAGGGGGGTCATGGCAAGGAGGAGCCCTGGTGTTAGTAATTAGCGGTGTTTCAGCTCTGAAGCTTCTTTGGTGGTCTTTCTCTCCCTCTCTCTAATGTTACAAAACTCTGAATCTTGTAATCTCCCATCACCATCTACCACCACCAGCGCCTCCTGACTATCACACACACACACACATACACACACATGCTCTCCATTCTCCCTCTCCCTTTAGGCCTAACCACCTGAATAGTTCAGGCCAATACAAACCTGTCTGTGTGAGAGATACATAAGGCCAAGTGAGAGAGAGAGGGAGAGGGAGAGAGAGAGAGAGTCTTGGGCAAGATCAACATGTGTTCTCTGTCGGGCTCCCCAAGCTACTGAAACACACACACACACACACACACACAAAATACGCTTAAACCCACATATACACACACCACAAGTCCATGGCAGACACACAAGACTGTCTGTGTCTCCGCTCCAAGAATTTTATGGTGATGGTTTGGCTGAATGTGCTGCTGCACTGTGGGTTGGCACTGCCACCTCAGGTGGGACTGTAGCTCAGGGGCCAACAATATTTTAATAGGCAAACACACACACACACACACACACACACAGAGAGACAACACACGCGTAGCTCGAGCTGCTTCTGTTCCGTTCTTTATAGTGAAGGCTCATCACCGATGCTGTTCCAGTTGAGCGGACGTGTTCGAGTCTCTGGAGCAGGTGGGAGGTGCACGATAAGGAGCCGGGCTGAATGTCTCCTCTGTCAGTTTGACCTCCTGCGTGAAGTCTGCGCCACGACTGTGGAGGGTAGAACGTTAGCAGCCAACAGTGGAAGACTGTGGTTGTTCTGGCCAGCGTGTGTGTGTGTGTGTGTGTGTGTGTGTGTGTGAGCAGGGAGAAGCAAACAGGATGTGACCCATGTTCTAATGTCCAGCAGTGGCCTGCTGAATGTTGCCCAGCTAAATATTAATCTTTATTTCTCAGAGGGTCCACTGCGTAATAGAAATTAACCACTGGCTCAACTCCTGCAGGAAACAGACGCCAGGTTTTTATTTCCACCTAAAATAATTTTGTTTTGTTTCGTGGTGTACAGGTGCAACTGATCAGTTGGTGAGTTTACCTTTTGTAACGTGTCAACAGATTTTAAATTAATTTCATTTGTGGGAACTATGTTGTCAAAATAGATACAATTTGAAGGGAAATGATGGAAGAATTGAACCCTAACCCACTTCATACCACTAATCTGCCGTAGCTGAAGTTTGAACAAAAAAGTCTTATTTGAGATATTTAAAAAAAAAAGTTAAGTGTTAAAATGTTATAATAATGTGAAGAGGCTTCTCTGATTCATAACAAGAGATTTTAGAGTTTTTAGAAGGCAGTCCCTCAATTCTTATCAGTGTTTTGTGGCTCTACCCCCTATCTGTCATCATTGGAACTACACCCTAAGGATAAGGGGTTTTAAAAATGTTAAAAATAAAACGTCTGGCTTTGTTTGTGTGTCTTGTTCCAGGTGTAATATTCAGGGCAGTGTGATCTGCAGTAATGCTGTCATCAGTCGAGGAGCTGACCTCAAATACTGCCTGGTGGGAAGTGGACAGCAGATTGAAGCAGAGGGTGAGTCTCATCGTTCACAATGTTTTAATGCATTCACACCAGAGCAGTAGGAGGTGTGAATGGTTGGATCTTCATGACTGCAGCCGAGCCATGAAACTGTACTGTAATAAACCTAATTGAAATAACATGCAGGAACTAGTGCTGCGTAGGATACGTTTCTTAATACTCATTGATAATAATATATCACTTCTCTGTAATAGATTTGTCAGTTTTTCACAGCCAAATGTCTCTGTATGTGTGTGTGGCTGTTTGTGTGTGTCTGTGTGTTTGTGTGTGTCACATTGATGGAGAGGTTAGAGAGCAGGGCCAGAACAGGACCACCCGGAATTCAACAGCAGCAGCTTCCAGCCACACACTCACACACACACACACACACACACACACACAGGACAAGCTTGGCTTCCGGAGTGAGAGGGCTAATTGTGTGAACAACAGGTTTCCTCTAATTCCTCCTTGATATCACATGATGCTGCTGTTTTCTAACATGTCCCATGTTCAACAGTTTGGTTTCTCTCAGCCATGAAACCCCCCAAAATGTTATTTAGCATTATTGTATTTATTTAAAAAAATTTACATTTAACAGATTAAAAAGTGAGTACATTTATTGATTACATGTCAAGTACGAACAGACGGAGGATAAACTCAGAGAAGACATAAAAAACATACGAGGTTAATACAAGTATCATCAGTGTAAAGCAGTGATTATCAACTGGCGGCACGTGAATTGTCCACTCTGGCCCGTAACTGGTGTGTCCAGCCCCCCCTGGTACATCTGGTACATCTCAGCTGGAGCCTGAAGGTATAAACTCAAGAATAGTTAAAAAGTGCCTGGGGTTCATGTGAAATTTTTTGTCTCCATTATTAAAGGGCGTGGCCATGTTAATTTCCTCAAAGATACTGAGTCTATTGCAGACCAGTGTGGTCGTTGTTTTTTCAACAGTGGTTATTAATTTCATGTTTATGTGTCTGTTGACTTACCAAACGGGGACATAGTCCAAAAAGTTAATGTAATGGGTGTCGGTCTTTGTGGCTGTAGTCTGATCGTTTCACTCCACATAATGCGCTCTTTTATTAGAGTCCCTATAAACGTCCTCGTGATCTTTATATTGTACAGTAAGAAAAAGCCCTGCATTGTCTGTTGCCACCAGCCTCACTGACCACAGGCTGCTAAAGACATTACACACCCACTCCACTGCTGAAGCTGTGAGTCCTGAAGGACCACCCTGGCAGCCCGCCTCACGCTCTCACACATATACGTCGATAAAGTACACACACACACGCACACACACACACACACACACAGGTGGATCTGCTGATATTTAAACGATGCATACCTTCCTTTTGACAAATGCACAAACACACACACACACGTGCATGTATTTATACACTATATACATGGACAAACACATTTGTTTCTGACTTTTCAGTGTATCCTGTTAAGATTTCTGACCATATTTGCTTGGACCAAACAATAACATAGCATTGTTTAGTAATTATTTGTACATGTGACATACTTTAGGTTTTGATTTAGATGATATCAGCAGTGTTCAACCGCAATGTCTGTATAGACTGTCAGTAATCAGGGTCATATTTCTAATAGTTATATTGGAAGCAGCTGGTGTTGAAGATTAGATGAAGATGTTTCAGTTTTTATACAGGATGTTTTTTTTCCTTCTACTAGTCCGTGGTTCATCCAGGATTTGACCTCCGTGAGTTTAGTCAGGGTGAAGTTGATCAGGTTGAGCTATTTTAACAACAAGCAGGATTTTTTACGTGGACTCATCTGACAATAGATTGAGAGTCAAGTCAATGAGTATTTTATGACGTCATCATACTGACAGAGGATTTATAATTGGATATATGTGGAAGTTAATTTTCCATTCTTAACAACTCACAGGCATAAATGACACAGTCTCCTCCAGTGACCGATGAATCAAAGAGCTCAAATTAAGTAACTCTGTCCTTTTCTATCCAGTCACTCCCCCTCATGCTGCCCCCCTGCTCCATCTGTTCTCCCCTACACACACACACACACACACACACACACAGGATAAACCCAGTCTGAAGAACAGATTCCTTCACACTGAAACCTGCCCGTGTGGATGGAACATTACTCTTCCAGCGTTTGCTTTGGATCCGCTCTGCTGCTGAGGGGATGTAGGGAGGAGCGGCTGCTCTCCTCATGTTGAACTGAGTTAGGCCTGAGGAAGATAGTGAGGAGAATGCTGGCACACACTCTCTTTCAAGCATCATCTATTTCTCTCTTTAGTCCGGTTCAGGTAGCGGTCAGCGTGACCTAAGGCTTGCCGCGCCGAAGACTCTGGGAGTCGTCTCGAATAAGTGAAAGGAGCGTAGAGAGGAGATGCACGCTGTAGCTCATTAACTACAAATTACACATACATGTATTTCCTGGCCGCTCAAGGCAGCCTTTGTTTTCCATTTGCGTCAGTGTGGTATCAAAATCAACACGCAGAAATAACTTGATGAGTTTTCCGTTATAGTAAATATTTTGTTAACTTCTCATCCCAGGGAAATACATGCCACATGTGGAACTTTGCGGCAGAGGACTGTGCAGAACACATTTGTAATTAATGGACTTGATGAAACTCCCTGAGATTGGACAGTTTTGATGAACCATTTTTACAAAATGTTCTCAGTCCCAGAGTGTTTTTCAAATAAGAAGTTAAAATTTCACTGTTAACCATGGCATTTATTCATAAAATCAGATTTATTTTTCTGCTCTAGTCACTAAAAGCAGGCCTTTAAGGTCAAAACACCAATTCAGCAAGAAAAAGCTTAGTTGAATTATTTGACATTTCCTAGTAAATTACTAGGAGTACGTTTAAAATGCCATGGTGTTTTTATTGTTTTCTACTTTTTTCCAACTCAGGAATCACCACACCAGCAAAAGAGAAGAACTGTGCATCTAGAGAAAACTACACTCTAAACCATCTGTCTCAGCCAGATGGAAAATCCAAATCATGTTCGAATCATTGCTTAAATACACATGTGCTTTTATTTGTTTGTGTCATCAGCTGAGAGAAATAATGAGGTCATCGTTGGAACGGACCAGCTGATGGAGATCTAACTCTGATGGGGATTCATTGGCATCACCTCATTAACCAATCAGAGAGCAGGAAATTGCAGGACCACCAGCTGACATCAGGAGGCCAAACGCTGCTCCACTCCCACCTTTAGGCTTTTGTACATTAAATAAAGAGGAGTCTGCTTTCACACCCGGGATCTCTGTGATGTCTTCTTGTCTTTATCTCTGTAATTGCTTCACCGAACCACTTATTATCAAATCAGTGCTGTCGCCTCACAGCAGGACCCGCTTTAATCTGTCGTATCAGGAGGAGCGTGAGCTCGTACAGGTTTGTGTGTCTGTCTGTGTGTGTTTACATGTGCGGAGTGCAGCTGTGAAGAGCAAAGATGGAGAAAGCGGTGGGAGGGGTGACCACAATGGTGAGGGGGCTAGGTTTATTTGTACACAGAAATGGTGTGTGTGTGTGTGTAAGCCCGGGACCACCCAGCCTGATCCTGTATCAGTTAACACCGACACCGCGCCCTTACACACACACACACACACACAAGTCAGTGGAGGAAGACGCTAACTCGCACTTGACTCTTCTTTCTTTCTTCTTTTTTTTTTTCTTTCGCCTTTGCTGTCACAAGATTTATTGCATTCTTTGGGCAGAGCGTTTCTTAAATTACAGGTTTGAAGTTTCTTTAGTCACGAATGAAGCGAGATGAGGCCGGAGATGTCTGTGGGGCTGCTCTGTGTGCACATGTCCGTGATCTACCGTCCTCTGTTTCCTATTGTGTCTGTGGCCGTGGCAGGACTCATTTAGAACCTCTCCTGTGACATGATAATGTGCGTGTGAGGAAGAGGGAAATGATGTTGTCTTCGGTCGGTACTGCACTGAGTATTCTCAGCCGCTTAAATCTGTCAAAAGGCGAGGTTTTATGATCTTTCTTCCCCCAAGTATATCACATCGACTGACATCAATCATCCCTCAGTTACTGTAACACCGACCCAGTGATGACATTACTGATCTGGACCTGAAGGGGGAATTTGGGCCTTGTGTGCAGATGCATTATGTACGGACATATGTATGGGCCAAACCCCATTGGTCCGTGTTCTAGAGACTTCCTCGTCACGTGGTTGATTCCTTACTTCATATGAGGTTGAAAGACTAAATATGTCAAGTTGGTTTTAAACAGAAAACCGCACTGGTCGTTACTTTATCTGTGCTCTTTGTCTCTCTCTTGCCTTTTCCCCGATCTCACACTCTGACCCCTCTGCAAACCACATGATGCGATCTGGCAGCCGGGTGTGTTTAGGTTGAGGCTTGTATATTTACACAGAGACCCCGGAGTCCCCTCAATACAACGCCACCATGGCTGAGCTCACCCTCCATGTGTGTTTGCTGCTGCATGTGTGCACACTTACCTTGGTTAGTCCTCTAACACACAAACTAATCAGCGCTGTCCAACACCTCTGTGTGTGCGCCTGTTCACTGTGCAGATCTTGAGATCACATGTCACAGCCACTTATATCTGACACTGCTGCTCTGTGCTTTCGTTGCCTGGAGGACTTTTCTGATTTCTGCAGAGAGACTTATCTGATTATGCATCTCTGACAAATGAACTTCACGTCGGCGAACTAATAAACTCCTAGATCTGTTTTGATTTCGCTCCGTTGTGGGCTGAAAAGTACTGGTGTTTGTTTCTGCTGTGATCTTGACCATGAAGTGTGTAATTGTTCAGGTCTGTGTGCAAACTGAATAATGGAGACAATTTTTATGTCAGGGAATTTAATGTTAAAAGTCGTTGACAGAGAGTTCTGCAGAGTGAGAGGCTGGTGTTTGGAAAAAGAGATGTCATTTATTAAAAATCTAAAAATGTAGGGAGGGGTTTTGGAAACCTTTCCTACCAAATGTGATGCCACAAAACATGATAACTGAGAATTTTGTTTTGCAAAAAAAGATTTAATGTATTGGTAATAACATTTATCTTGTCTTTACCCTGGTATCTGTTAAAAGTTTAAACTTTAACTTCTGTTATAGTTTTGACTAAAGGACCTTTGATTGGAGATTGAAGAGTTTAACCATTCTTAACTTTTGTCTTATACTTAGCAACAGTGAGTAAAGATGATGTTCAGATGCCTTCAGTTGGGACACATGAGCTTCTGTGATGTCCTCTTTGAGTCGAAGGTCTCAGCCCCGAGGGGGAGAAAATGCAAAATAAAGAACCATATAGTGTAAGATAGATGTCCTGGGCGGCTGGTGGAGACACATGTACGGCACACAGACATCCACAGATGCACAGAGAGCTGAGGTGGAGTCTCCGCTCTGGGTTGGGGGGGGGGGGGGGGGGGGGGAGTTGGCTGAATCGCTGGGTGGCTTCATGGCTTCAGGGCTGATCGTGGGTGAGCGGCAGAGAGAGCGAGCGGGCCACCCAAGTGGCAGTCAGAAACCTGTGTGTTTGCTGCTGACCCCTACACATTAGCACAACACTTCCTCAATTTGTCTTCTGTGTTCTCCAGCCACAAATGAATTTCCTCCACTTGGTCCCCCAAACACACACACACACACACACTCACATAGAGACACGCTGACACCACCCCATCACTAACTCCAACATCTGAATACATGCACGCTCACAAACACCCTCTTTACAAGCGTCCCAGATACAGCAGTTGCTTATGTTGCTCTGCCAACAAAGAGTGGAGACACGGATCCCATGTGTGGGATAACAACCTCAGTGACATGCCTTATAAACACACACAAAGCCAGATATTCCTGTCTGTCACTGCGGAGGCCCCCAGCTAATTATCCAAACATTGACTGGGTGGTTGATTGAAATTGCTGTTGCATTAAAAACTCACAGGAAGACGCTGCAGTGTGATCTTCTTTTACACCCCCAGGTCAGGTTTTCCAGCTAATCATATTCTTTACAGTCTGTTTCTAACATCTGCAGAATTAACTGCAAACAGGCACCGCTTTCCCAAATAATTACAAATACATGTTTTCTGCTTGGAGACGCCAGCACCAGTGTTAGTGTTAGTAACCTGAGTTCACGTCTCATCTGCGGATTTTCTGAAAGGATCTCGAAGAAAAACAGAAAGAAAGAAACTCATTAACTAAAGTTGCTTATTAAGCTCAAATTAGCAAAAAAATAAATAAATGAAGTTTAGCTGAGAAAAGAAAGTCAACCGTTTTTTAAAGCTTTTAAAGCTTGAAACTGTAAGATAAATATTGTTTAAAGTTGTTTATTAAAGAAAAAAGCTAAAAGACAACACTTACTGCAGGTTAGCACCAAGATCAGTTGCTAAATGTTAGTGTAATCGAATCCTAGTTAGCCATAAGGTTCGTCTAAACTACAATAAAAAGGCTAAAAATAATTTAAAACACCCATAAAATAATGTCTAAAATGTATTAATATGTAATTAATTTGCTTCCAAACTTCAGTCAATCTAAGTTTAGTTTAATTAATCATAAAGAGTTGAACATTTTCTAAATGTTTTTTCTAAAGGTTACTTTTAAGGTAAATAGCAACAACTTAAAAATAGATAAAAAAATCATAAATCTTTGTAATTAGAACACTATTAAAATGAATACGACAATTAAGTCATTTGCTGTAATTAAATAATATTATTACTATTGCTAAGAAAAGCAAAATGTTCAAGAAAAAAAATGTAAACCGATTTTGTTCAGGTTTTGTGCCAGAAAATGATTTATAGTTTGTTCTAATGAAATTTCCTTAAACGCCACCTGTGGTGTTCTCTTACTGGAGAAGTAGCTAAAGGTTCATAACTTTTATTCAAATTGCTCCTGAAACCTATTCCACCGGCAGGAGCAGAGAAACCTGATGAAAAGCGTTCATTTCCTCTGCTGCTCCACATGCATATATGCACCGGCTCTTCTTTACCACCGCAGGTCTGAGTTTGCACTACCACCTGCGATCTGCGTCTGACAATACCTCTGTTACAACCCGGCCAACAAAGACTTAAAGAAAAGTGTGTTTCTGTGTCTCTTTCTGTGTTTTGTGTGTTTTTCCCCCTGCGAAAGGCAACCATTCATTACTCTGACAAAGGCCTAAAGAAATGCATTATCATAATTAATCTGGTGTGAGACTGTGGGTGGCAGCTCCCACTCTCCCCTCAGACTGACAGGGGAGAATCTCCCTGAAGCTGCCGCACTCTCCGTCTGTTTCACTGATACCTTGGGAAACTTTTTAATTACAGACCTGGTGTTTTTCTAACGATGAGTCAAAAAGTGAATTTATCATCCACTCCCCCATAAAACATAAAAGTGTCTTATGATCCAGAAACGACACAGGGCTTGATAAATTCTGCACCGTCGTGTATATTTTCACATCATTTTTCAAAGACTTTATTTGAGAATTTTCTTTATTTTTCAACCCGCTCGGCCCCTGGCGGAGTAATCGGTTTAGTTTTCCTGAAAAGAATTTGTTTCTTTGGATAAGATTTTAACCGGAAAGTGTTTGTCATTGTTTCTCTTTTCTTTCTGTCGTTCCTTTTCTCTGGGAATTTTCTCTTTCTCTCTCTCTCTGTTGTTTCACACTTCAAAGTGGTTTGCATGATTTGTCTGACTTGCTGGAAATTTCCCTCATTATTGTTTAATCTTCACAGACTTTTATCTTTATCCCAGACATGAACCCCCATCCCACCCACCCACCCCCAAAGATTTGACCTGAGGGCAGCACTACTTGTAAATGTAATGTTAATGATTATCTTTTATGTTGATTCACAGCCTGTGTAATCCAAGGGTTTTGATATTTGATGGGTGGGACACGTCATCGATGGAGCTTTGTAAATTAATTCATTTTCCTAGTGCTTTAATATGGTTTCATTTTTCAACATAGCTTAGCATCATTTTCTTTCCGTCACACGATTCTAACATTTCTCTATCTACATCTATCTATCTATCTATCTATCTATCTATCTATCTATCTATCTATCTATCTATCTACCCACCCATTTTTTTCATCCTAACTGTATCTGTATCTCCACAGAACTAAAATCATACCGTGTGTTAGTGCATCAGTGTTTAAAATGATAACACTCATTCTGGCTGTGCCTTTTAAACCATTTTACCATACAGACTTTTTTTCTTTACTCTCCTAAGGTATACATATCTGTACTCACCACAGATACGTATACCTTATGTGAAAAGGAGAAGAAATGCAGCTGTGCGCGCTCTCACAAATATCTTTCTCTGATAAATAAACAGTCTCTGCGCCTGGACTCCAGGCGTCTCAACTGTTGTGAGACGGCTGAATGCCAGAGCGGGGCCGTAGTCCTGCCTATA